TCAACAGGGTTTTATTTCATTGCGTAGAATGAATCCGAAAGCTGTCACCAAAGATTAACGATAGAGTGTGGTTAATGTCGCACTCAAAAATTCCAACTTTAATTTCCCGATGATAATTATGTCTACTTTGCTGAAGCTGCTTTTATATCTGTGGCTTTGACCGGAATGATCCTTATCGATGGTTTCTCATTTTTCTATATGTTAATTTTTCGCGCAATTTTTCACAGACATGACGTTTATTCCTTGTCGAGTCCTGGAATTGAAACCGATCGAGGGAACACCTTATCGATGGTTACGTTTGTCCTGGTCGAATGACAATGCCTGGATGCCCGTCCCCCTGGGCCACCATGTAATGTTACGCTTGTTGGACAGCACTGGTAAGTCTGTTGCATCCATACACGGCAGACTATAATGATCTACATGTGTCTTTTACCTGATTATTGCTCGATTGTTTGCTGAGAGTTAGGACCTTATCCGTTTAGGTTCCTAAACAAATCGCCCGCTACGAGAAGTAAATGTTTTATTCTTTGTATGTGTTCCCAGTAACTCTCCTATCGGATGTTTCCGTTTTACGTCAAAATGCTAGACCAATTAACACAACCATTCCTCCTGCTGGTTGCTGAATACCTTTTACCCGTTGCGCTTGACGACGGTTATTACATTATTTTTTTACCTGGATTAACATTTTACTGGATCGTAAATCTATCGTTCTGAAGATCATTCGTAATAGCATAAAAGTGTTTCGGAAGTTGCACGGACAAATTGAAATTCCTCGTTTGATCAGTCAATACTCCCAACTTCATTCCTGTTTCTTGTCTTTCAGGTACACCAGTCTGTCGTCCTTACACTCCTGTATGGCCGAAGTTAACTCCAGATTCAGTCGATCATGCAGACTTAGTTAAATACACTGAGCTGTCTCTTCTAATTAAAGTGTATCCCAATGGTGTTATGTCTGGTTTGATCGATCAACTGCAGGAAGGTGAGACTATTCGTTATTCCCAGTCTGGTTTTCGTATATGGCTGAAATTCAATCTGTCGACCTTTTCCTGTTTGTGAAAGTTGTTCCTCACGTTCGAAAGACAGCAAACGAATTTCACATTAAAAGACGCGTGAATTAACTTTGCACAGAATAGTGATACAGTATTTCCAATAATCCACTCATGCATATCCGTACCGTAATCGAAGCAAGCACTATCTTCACCTATTGGTTTACACTCCGACTCGCAATCTGAAGATTCGAAAAATTCGGATAAATGTTCATATTTGCTCTGATAGCTGAAGCCGAACTTGTTGTTCTATCGCCTGTTAAAGATCGATAACAATGAAAGAAGTAAATCATAGCTGAGGATTTACTGTGCAAATGCGGACTGTGAGTTGTAGCCCTCATAGCTGAACCGTTCTCATCGGTGCTCAAAATTATTTTGTTGTCTGAAAATTAAAATACTGAGAGGACGAGCGTCTTCCACAGCTTTGCAAACACTGAGAAACATATTAGTGTGATCGTTCAGGACAACCACCGGACAGGCTGTCTCGCCGTCAGGATCAGCGTTCACTGTGCAAACTAAAAGCGCTCGATGCGTTCGATGCACCAAACCATTCTACTAAAGTAATTCGGTGGTAACTCGCCTATAAGTCTTATATCTGTGCGTCCTACTTTGTCATGAAAAAGCAGGGAAGCCCAAGAGGCTTCATTTCGAACATTACTTCGGTAATCACGTGTGAGTGTTAAACTCGAGTCATTCATGGTGACGCAAATTAAGAACGTTGCTCGCATGAAACAGACAGTCTATCCAACTGAAATGCACACGAGAGGATGGTTATCTCGTGGTATCCAAGTGCTTCATTTCTTGCATGTTTGTCGCGTATGTCTACTAGTTCTATGAGTGGTACATCTATGAAGCTGTAACGACAAGGCTCGTGCTCATTGTCCGTCTTTGATTGTACTCGATGTCGATTTGATGACTTCTCCTTGTCGATGCTCTCCCAATTTCTATTCCGGAGAAATCTGTTCTCTGTACAACCTTATAACTAACTACGGCACAGTTCTCTATTATTCATTACACTTTTTCTGGTGCTACCATTAAACACTTGCACTGTTTGCAGCTGTCTTATGACTCAACTAGTTGCGAAATAACCCGTGGTATAGGAATTGCTGATAGACTGACTGGCACAACAACTCTCTTAGGATGAACGATTTTTATCAGATGTACTTGACCTGGGTTCCCGGAAAGTAAGCACTAAATAGTCGTTAGATTGCGAAAATCCCTTGAGATATCACCGATTCATCGACGCCCACTGATATCCTACAATATTCAACTTCACATTGTCATGCAAAACCATACCGAACAAGGATGATTTCCTAAAACACGCGAACTCCTTGTCTGTGTTTTTGTCTATCCCTCAGGCGATCAACTAGAAGTTAGTCTGCCCATTGGACAATTTTCGCATAGCTTTCTTCATAACATTCTATCATCTACGAAACGCCCATTTGTGTTCATGCTATCTGCTGGAAGCGGGATCACACCGATGCTTCGCCTGCTACTTGTTTTCCTTCATCGTCACTCGAGTGATCCCGGGGACCACAATGCAGTGGATGTGAGCTCTCCCATCGTGCGTCTTGTCTGCTTCGATCGAACAGAAAAGGATCAGGTCTTGGTCGACGAGTTGGCAGATCTCGAGTCGAAATTTCGGGACCGGTTAGTCATCTTATTGTTATTTTTTATCTAGGCTGGTGTGTCGCAGTTTTATTTCTGGTTCCGTGTTCGTTGTGGCTTAGTGTTGCTTTGTTCTTCCCTCTGAGTGTTGGTAACAGTCGTTCGAGGACAGCAGCTTCCGTATGCTCTCGGATGAAGAGATATCTGACCTGGAGTACACAGACGGTAATTTGGTACTAAGTGGAAAAAACAGGTGAAATTACACATCTTTCTGGACTTTTAAAGTGATGGTGTAACAATCTTCGGCATGCGTTTTTCATCTTCCAGGTGCAAAATGATGATTCAGTTCCCAATCACGGTCGAACAGGGAAAGTAACAAATACAGTTGAAAAAAATCTCGCGGTTTGAGCTGCTACAAAACACCTGGCGAACGCATATCCGGTCAAGTATCTTGACGGACACAGAAGGCTCGGTTGGATCACTGTGCTCTGCTGAGTCGACTTATCCTTCAGTGAGAGATATTTTTGTGTAGGTTAGGCATTCTCCATTTGGTTGTAGCTCAATCGGGTCGATGGGAACACAGGAACAA